ATGCATCTAGACACAACTCTGGAATACAGCAAATTAAATTATTACTAAAAATTAAGAGCCAGCATGCAGATGTTGTTTTCTTAGAGACCACAGTGGGCATGGACAGTGAGTGTGTGATAGACAGTGACAGTGGGTTCACCACTCAAGAGGCACAGTTGACTCTCTGGACCTAAACCTCTTGAGATCCCTATAACAGAGAGGCCAGAGCACTGGACTGTCCTTAGAAACAAGCCATAGCCTAGGAACAATGGCAATAGGTCAACCCAACACGTTTGAGAAAAGCAATGGTTGATGCACTGAGGCAGGCAAGGGCAGAGGCTAGCCATTCCTCACTGGCTCTCCCAGGAAGGCAAACACTTGTGTTTTTCAAAAGAAGCTTTACCTTAAGTATGTGATTATGTTATTATTTTTTTCCATATGAGAAAAAATTTACATCCAAGGTTTGGAAAAATTCTGTTGTTAGTTCAGGTTTCCTGATTTTAAATTTGCTAAATGCAATTACACAGATTAAACTCCTGTTATGCACAGAAGCGCAGAAACTGGTCCACTTGAAACTCACGACAGCAACTGGTTAAGTGGAAAATGTAACAGACACAACGTGCTAAAATACTAGAGTAACAGGAGGAGTCAGAGAAATCATTTCTGTTATTATGTGTGTATAAGAAGTGGATGCAACACTTCCGGCCCCATTAGAGACTGAGAGGAGAGGGGAGAGTAGCATAGAGGTTCAAATAGATGCAGGGACACGTCACACAGAGATCCTAAAGCCTGCAAAACACAGAGAGGAGAAGAAAGGTTAGGACAACAGACAGACAGAAGGGGAGGGTCGCACGGTGGTGGCACAAGGAGGAAGACAGAAAGGGAAGGGTGACAGGCCACAGCTGGAAATCAGTTATGGCTCCCCAAGTGTAGAAGATGAGGACCAAGCTGTGAGAAGTAAACAGAGACACCAGGAGAAACTCCAGAGTGGAAAGCCTGAGAGAAGCTGAGAGAAAGCTGAAGCAGCGACAGTCTCTGAGGGAACTGATTCAGATGTCAAGAGGAAGAAACAGTGTGCATGATACACACAGACTGCCTGCCAGTGAGCAGGAGGCAGGGTCAGGATAGAAGGGACAGAGGAACAGTCAAGTGTGCACCACCAGCAACTCAGGAGGCAGTGGGACACTTGGTGCCACCACACAGAATGGGGCCTTCAAAGCTGAGGCAGCCCAGCTTTGTTAAGAGCATGGAAGAGCCTTCCCCCCAAGAACACAACCCAGAGTTCATGCCCCTCCTCTGAGGCATGCTCACACAGAGTAGGGCCACAGCTAACACAGGACAGAGGCTGTAAAACAAAAAGAGAAAGGGAAATCTATAGGCAAGATTATGAAAATGAATATGAAACCTGATGTTTGTGTAAAGCAGCGACACCAGGTCGGAAGCCAGGCCTTATGTCAGAAGGTGCTGAACCTGTACAGGTTTCTGTGCTGAGCCCCACACTAAGTGTTGGGGCGCAGAAAACAGCAGCATGCTATGGCTGCCTGTAAGCACTGCAAATGCTTGCTATCCAGGCAGAGCCCTCAACATGGAGGAGAAAAACAATCCACTTGGGGAACTTTGTGTTAAGAGACCTTGAACCTAGAGTTCTTGTGTAGAAAGAATAGATCTGTTAGAACTTTTGAAATTATGTTCATTTTGAAGGGAATGTTGAAGTCGTGTGAAAATGCCGAGTAGAAAAAAAAGTCAGAAAATAAATGGATACAAATGAAAAATAAATCATCACAGCCTCAACACTTAGTGAGCTCACACCTGCTGATGCACACTACTCAATGGCACACCCAGAGATACCACGTTCACACCTGCTGATGCATGCTGTTCAAGGGTACACACCCAGATAGTGAACTCACACCTGCTGATGCATGATGTCCAAGAGCACACATATGCTGACTATTTATACCTACCTTCTAGACTTATCAGTTACATCCTTCCACTCAGATACAACATGACAAAACCGTACGACAACAAAACAATTTGCCCTATGAATAATGAGTACTTGACAATCAATTACATACATGTTTCACAATTTAATAAATTCCTTTCAGAAAAGCATCTACTGAAACAACAGCCCCCAACTGTCCTGTTGCAGGTGGGCTTAACCATCAACCTCTCCACTAAAAGGCAAATCAGCTGAAGCAGCGTATTGAGCCAGAGATAATTTAAGCAATGCTTTCCTCATAAAGACTGAATTAAAATTTCCTCTTAAACATCAACTTGTCTTTTAAGTGACTCCCTGACCTTAAATCTTCTACTGTTCATAAAGGATATGTTTAGTTTTGAGACGGACTTTCCCTAGTTGGCCCAGAACAGCTTTGCACCCTGGGCTCGCTCGCGCTTTTCTTCCAGCTTCGAACATGAGCAACTGGGATGACAGACAATCTTCATCACATCTAGCTATGTAAGAATTTTGAAAACCATACACCCTCACAGGCTCTCTTTTATGGAAATAAAAACAAACTTATTAGCAAGCATGCATCCATGAAGAACGAATGGATTGTACACAGGGACACACATCTAAGAGGTTAACCTACTTGCTTGGATTCTCATAAAAATTATATTTCCTATATTTTAAAGCTTGCTGTCATTTTTGTAGTGGAAAATTGTCTAATTTTGCTTTTTACTTTTCATTTCATGAGTTTGTCACTGCTAACAAACATTGTTCATGTTTATTACAAATATATTTATTCTTTTAATAACACCTCTTATACATTCTTCACCAGTTCTTTAGTGATGTTTCTTTCCTGATGATCTCTTGGAGCTTTCTATACGCTACAGGTACAAATCCTTTAGGTAACATTCTTTTCCAGTCCAGCTATTATTTAAAAATGTTACTGGTCTATAGATTCTTTTTTAAAACAAATGTATTTTTATTTTATGGATACAAGTGTTTTGCCTGTATGTATATATGTACGTATATATGTATGTATGCATGCACATCATGTAGTATCCAAGGAGGACAGAACAGGGCATGGCCCTGGCACCGGAGTTACAGATAGCTGTGAGCTGCTGTGCCTGCTGGGAACTGGCAGCAGGTGCTCTAGTTGCTGAACCATCTTTCCGGCACCACTTTTCTCATCGCTAACATGCATGATCTTAAAGTTTCCATTCCATAAATCCAAACAATGTAGCTATAGGCCCTCTTTTTATTTGGTGCTTTTGTTTTTTGAAACAGGGTTTCTCTGTATAGCCCTGGCTATCCTGGAACTCATTCTCATTCTGTAGACCAGGCTGGCCTCAAACTCAGAAATCCGCTTGCCTCTGCCTCCAGAGAGCTGGGATTAAAGGTATGAGCCACCACTGCCAGGCTAGCTATAGTCTTATGTTCTCAGAAGCTAAGGCATAATTGTTTGAGCCCAAGAGTCTGAGGCTAGTCTAGGAAACAGGAGCTGCCCTTCCCCTAAAAAACAAACCATCATGACAACACCGCAAAAACAATCAAAAACTCAGAGAAAAGCCAGAAATGTTTTCTAATTCTAATATCATGATTATATAAAAAGCCTTTCCCAGGATGATTTATTCATCTAGATTTTCTATACAAGTAGATTAACTTATTTTTTTAATTAAAAAAGTTATGGAAATGGATTTCTAGCAAGTACCGAATGTATGCATGCGGGTACAGATAGGTCTGTAACTCTGAACATTCTGTTTCAACAAATTTCTGCCTACAGAGAAAACAAGATGTCTGACAGACTTCCCTTTACTTCTTATGCCTGGCCACCTATTACCAGGTCCCCAAGGTGTATCTCAGAGGTAAGTGTGGTCCACTGTCCAGTTTGTAGCATAAATCAGGCTTGTTTCTTTGGGACCCTAGGCCTCCCCCCACACCTGGATGGGCTTTCAAGTGGCTCTGTCCTCTTCAGTTTGCAGGGATTCTTGTCATTCTCTCTGTATAAAGATCTCCACACAGAGCTTCCTGCTAGCTACTGTACAGTCTGTTTCTCTGCTCACAGCCCAGGATTTTGGAGAGAAAGGCTATTCTGGTGGTCTTTCCCTTCAGGCTGACTTACACTACCAGGACTGTCCACCAACACTTCCCGAAGGCCACTAACAGCCTGGTGGCTGCAATTCCAACACACTTTCCCAGTGCTTACACCAGAAGTGCTCTCTGTCATCTGCCATTGTTGATCTGACGTCTTTCCTTGGTGATGAAATGCTAACTTTCTGCTGTTTTCTCTTCTCTTACCTCTATCAGGGTGACTTTGCGGACCACCGGCTCACTTTTCTTCATCTCCGTATCCGCTTTGTGTCCTCGGTCCTCGAAGTTTTGATCTTTGCCCTTCTCAGAGCTATAGGAAGGAAAGAGGGTAAGTGAGAAGTCAGTAAGCCAGCAGCTGGAGTGGATTAGATAAGGCGTGGATGTAGTGAAGGGACGGGATGGACACAGATGACAGGTGGGAGGGCCTGAGGAAACCGCTGGGCAGAGTTACATGTGGGATTATCCAGCGGACTGACAGACAGCTGCTCAATCCTAGCCACGGAGAAGGGACAGGAACTGAACAAATTCTGTCTGTTTCTGAAAAACAGTTAGATACATAGGGAAAACCAGAAAGTTTTATCAACACAGATGGCAAACATGCTGTTACAGGATTGTTCTTAATGACACAGAGAGAAGAGGTTACTAAGTGAGCTTGCACACAGCAACTACAGAAGGCAACAGCATGGGCAGGGAAACAGCTAGGCACACACCGAGGTTTGCTGTAGCACAATGTTACATGTAAGGAAAAAGAATACAGGAACATGAAAAGAGAGAAACCCTGGAACTAAGAGACTACTCTTCTATCTAGAGTATGTAGGAAAGGTGAGAATATCCTGAACGGGGCTTTAAAAAGATGCAGGGATTTAAAACTCGGGCCATCAGCAGGAATGACAAAGATCACACAAACTGCACATGAGCACTCATGGTCAAGCTCTGGCACTCCCATAAGCATCTGGACACTGGGACTTTTAGGGAGGGTGAGTAAGTTCATGTGGTTTTATCCAGACAGAACCATACCAGTGATTTAGAAGGAAAAGACACAAAAATCTGCTTGTCTGGGAGCACATGTGTACAGGCTCTCCATATGTGTGTCTGGGAGCACATGCATACAGGCTCTCCTTGTGTGTGTCTGGGAGCACATGCATATAGGCTTTCCATGTGTGTACACACAGAGGGTATATGAAGCCACAGTGAGAAGGCAATCAAGTGCTAGTTAGGAAGAGAGGCCATATTTGGAAGACATAATGTACCCGTGAAGCTTAGTAATGACGGGTTTGGAGAGCTAGCTCAGCAGGCGGCAGCCGAGTCTGATTCCCTAAATCCATATGGTAGAAGGTCAGAATTGACTCTTTCAAGTTATCCTGAGCTCCACTCCACACAGGCACTGCCCCCTCCCAAAGTAAAGGAATATATGTAGAAAAAGTGATAGATATGTAAAACATTAAACAGATATTTATTTTACCAGATAAATAATAAAAATATACATTGATGGGCACACACATACACACACACAGACACACACAATTAGGGGTAAGGATTTACAAATTGCAAGCAACGAGATACATCTTGAATTCTAATGACTGAAATCACAGTCTGCTCTATCAAGGCTTGGTAAGGAAGCACAGCTATCTTGCATACAACCTTGGGTGGTGCGCTAGCTAGTTTCATATCAACTAGACACAAGCTAAAGTCACCTGGCAGGAGGGAATCTCAAGTAAGAAAATGTTCCCATAAAATATAGCTATAGGTGATCTGACATGGCATTTTCTGTTAGTGATTGATGGGGAGGACCCAGCCCGTTGTGGTTGGTGCGACACCTGGGTTCGTGGCCCTGAATTCTATAGGAATCAGGCTGAGCAAGCCATGGGGAGCAAGGCAGTAAGCAGCACCCCTCCACGGCCTCTGCAGAAGCTCCTGCCACCCGGTTCCTGCATTGTTTGAGCTCCTGTCTTCACTTCCTCTGATGGTGAACTGTGATGTGGAAGTGTAACCCTTTCCTCCCCAGTCGATTTGGTCTTGGTGTCACCACAGCCACAGTCACCCTGATAGGACAGGTGCCATCCTCAGGAAGCATCTTCTTTGAGGTGACAGTCTTTCATTGACCTGGTGCTCACCACTTAGGCTAGACTGGCTGGCCAACAAGCCCAAGGATTTTCTCTCTCCATCTCACTAGGGTTGGGATTAGAGCCACACACTTCCATGTCTAGCATTTTTTCCTTGGGTCTGGGCCTCAAGCTCATGCTTCTGAGGTAAGGACTTACTCACTGAGGTATCGATAGCCCCAATTCTGATCCTTTCTCACCAACCCCAATGCTACCATACTTTCGTTAGAAAGGGCCAAATCTATTTTGAATAATTTTAATATTATCTTAACAAGTCTCTCTGGTTTCACCCTTACCTACTAATGTGCATTCTTATGTCCGATGCTAAACTGACGCTGTTACCACGTGAGCTACTCCCTCTGTTGATGATGCCCTTTTCACTTACTGTAAGACTCTAACGCTTCCGACCTATCCTGGTCTCTGTATTCTCTCTCAATGGCTTTGTCTATTCCAGAAACTAGCAGTTTCCTCACGAACACATTAGAGAGCTCTTGCACACAACCCTGCCTCAAGGCTTTTTGCACTTGTCTCTCTCTCACACACACAACTCAATTCCCTTTAGCCTTCTACTCTTTTTTGCAAGATCGTCTCTGACAGTTCAACTTAAAACCACAATAGACCCACTGTAGAGGCTCATGTCTATAATTCCAGCTCTTAGGTGGATAAGACAGGAGGATTACCCATGAGTTCAAGGCCAGCCTAGACTATAGAACATGACTGCTGCAAACAAAAACACTAACAACACGAAACAAAACCAAAAATCTGTAACAATTACAGCTCCTATTTCTAGCTTCTGCCCATATTTCATTCTTCTCCACAGTGAAGCACACTCTGACACAGATGTTTTACACATGAGGAAATAAAATACCAACTCTTTGAGACAAGGGTTTTTAAGGGTTTTCTGTTGTATCCCCAGGGCCTAGAACATGAGGACATGCTGGTGCCTGACAGATCTATATGTGGAAAATGATCTACACTGTGTCTGTGTTCTTTGACACACTCAGCACACTCAAAGGCACCCGAGATGTATGCCTAGCACAGCTCCTCCTGCAGAAAACAACCAGCAGCATTTTCTCCATTAGGTTGACTCTCCCCTGGGATGACAGCCACAGCAGCTGGGTCAGAACAGAACTCAATTCTTGACATAGAAATGTTTATTCTGGCTCAGGTAAACCATGCACATGCAGCAGCTGGGTCTCCTGGTCCCACCTTCCAACTGTCAGCTGCTCCAAACTCTCCAATCCTATATTCTTCAGGAATAACAACTCACTAGAGTGGCTAGTGACTAGATCACCCCCACCCCACCCACCTCAAGTCTCCCGTCCCACCACTAGTCTCCTCCCAATCGTCCTTGATATCTGAGTGTCTTCTTTTCTGTCTGAATCTCCTGCCTCATTCCTGTATCAGTGTAAATGCTCTGAATATTCAGCCCTGAAAGCTCAATGGAAGCCTGGCCCCTGGCCCTTCCAGAGGCAGGCTAGCTCTTCTCCTTTGTGATGACCACTTGCTTCTCTTCAGTTTGCATCTAATAAGTAATTTGTATTATGAGTAACTAAAGTAACAGCCTAGAAGAAAGTTATTAGAAACAGGACATTTTAGGGGAGAAAGGTGGGCTGCAAACTACATCCTTCAGGAGGGCATAGAAAGATACTGTGACCTATGATGATGCTGTAGTTTATTCCTTACATTCAGTCATTTTCTGAGTATCTAAAAAGAATCCAACAACACAGCAGATTACCATGCCTTAATGCAGGTTTGTAAGACTGTCTGCATTCGTGAAGAAAAGTGTAACTTCTCTTTTTCTTCTTTTTAAATCTATTTTTGAAGCAGCTTCCCTAACATGTTGAGCCTCCTTGCCTTCTGTAAAGTCTTTTTCCCAACCCTGTGGCTGCCTGTCTACTATGTCTGCTGAGCCCCATGCTGGCTTTCTTTCTTTTCACTGTTCTCTTTAAAGCTGCTGAGATCTATAGTGTGACTGCCCTGGGGTTTCCTTTTAAACCCTAATGACATTGTCTCTGACTTCCATTCAAATCTGCTCTTAAATTATTTTATTAATGAGACCAAGGACCCCAAGAAGGGGCCCTGGTTTCTCCTGTGTCATTTGGCAATCACTAAGAGCCAGTCCTATCCACCACCCCCATTCCAGTAACAATATCTTCTCATGGCTACTGTGGCTGAGACTATAGCTGAGAGAACAAGCAAGCCCAGTGGTGAGGGGCTGGGGACTGAGGTTTTAATTTAGGCACTGACAGTGGCCCTATGGCATTAGCACAGAGGGAATGTGGGAAGAATTATAAGGTATCTTCTAGCTTATGATTCCATGACTTTTAAAGTCTACTTAAAAATTACACATCTCTTATCTGTGGAGTAAAATAGTATCTTGTAGCATATTGCATGGCTTGATTTGGTAATCCTTATCCTCTGAATAAGAACTTTCGAAGTGGAAGAGGTGAATTCTTAAACCATGGAAGCATGTAGTTTATCTTAACTTGAAACAACACATGGGAAGGAAGCCCAGCAGGGAAGGTCTGTGTGCACACTTGTAGGACATAGGAGGAGTTAGCACATGCCTGTGCTGTTCATGGATGCTGCATTTATGCTTGGATGGTGACACAGAACACATACATGCTGAACATCTTGGGAACTGGCTATTTTCCCTGTAAAGCCTCAGAGTAGACATTTCATAATTTAGTTTTACCTAACCAACCACGTGCTTGCATTCAGCTAATGTTATTTCAAAACATTATTCAAACAAAGTAAATGAAAGATAAAAATAAGTCTTCTGATGTCTAGTGTGTTGATATTTATAACATTATTTCTCTGGCTTCTAACACATTGTTGAAGTCTTTCATAAGTCAGTAATATGAAATTTAACTTGTAGTGTGATAATTGTGTTATGAAAGAGATATAGATCATCCTTAAGAACCAAGGCAAAATAAAACACTGCTATTTATCATTGCAATGATCCAAAAGGAGAAGCTACTTACTGCTCCACAGACTGTGAGCCCAGTCTGGAATCCAGGGACCTGTCCTTACTGAGCGACTGCTGTGAAGAAGGAGAGAAAACCAAACAGTAAGTCAACAGGAAAGAGGGCTACAGAGGGTCAGCATCCACAGAGTCCCTACCAGCTCTGAATGAAGATAGAAATGAATGCTTACGCCTGTCCTGAACTTGGAACACACTATTCCAGTAACATACTCAGTCCTATGGAAACCAGGAGTTAGTATACCGCCTGGGGTGCACTGCTCAGATCACCTTTCAGAGATGGGCATGAAAGCCAAAACCCTTCCTAAACAAACAAAATCATTAACAACAAGAACAAAAAACCCACAAAGAAAAATGAAGGGAGAGGCTGTGTGTGAGCTTAGGTTAGCTCAGTGCGGCCATCTGTTACTTAGGTTAGGTTACGTTTGTCTTTCCTCACTGCTCTTCTCTCTGGTCTCGTTAGCCCATCCACGTTTTCTACGTGAGGGTCAACTGAACTGGATGCAAGATTCTGAAGCTGAACACTGTGACTCTCTTACAGATTTGCTCAGTGAATCTTACTTTACTAACGGCACCCCTGAGAAGGATCGAATGCGGACTTGCGGAGGAGGTACTAACTTATATTCCAAGTACTAGACACTTCCTCTACAATTTGGAGCATTAGCTCCAACCCAAAGTTCAGTGAGGAGATGGAATTTACTGTGACACAGTACTTTACAAATCCCCCCAGCGCTGCCATGAAACAGGCTGAATCGAAATCACTGACATTATAGAAAAGATCCATTCGACACTCAAAATAATACAATAAACTGTCTACATAGGTATTTAAATTAAAGTCATTCAGAAGACAAAATGAAAAACTAGATGAAAGAAAAGGACACAGCTTTTCTTTCAGCCTTGCTTGAGAACTTCTGTATTCCTGTCTTCCCTCCACTGATGCTCACTGTGCCTCCAGATTCCTCCTTCATAATTAGATTTCTGGAGATTGTGCCTCGGAGAGCTTTGTCACCAAGTACCTTCCAACAAGCAGCACTGTGCGTACTATAAAGATTTTAAGACAACTGCTTTTCTTGACTATGGTCATGTATTTACTATCAAGTGGCTTTAAATCAAACATTTGAGGTGAGAATTACAGACAGACAAGGCAGGGGTGAAAGGTGGGTGCTGTAGCAAGTGACCCCCATCAATATAAGAACTAATGGCACCTTGATATGCCTTCACCACTACAGTCCATAAGACTCAGTTAAAACGTATTGAGAAAAAAAAATACATACTCATAGTCAATTTCAATTCTAAGAGTAGTTCCAATTGTTAAATCCCTAGCCTGTTCTCACTCCATAGTGCAAGCAACAAAAAGGATCAAACCCAGCATTAATCCTCCCAGAACTTCCCCCAGCTTTCTCATCAGCACATAAGCTCCAAACATGTTAACTGAATTAAATGGGAGGTTTTAATTTTTAAAATTCTTTACAAGGTTTAAGTATCATTTCTTCCTCTTTGTCCAAGAAAGGCCAGCATTTTACCAAGACAATCTGTATGCGTATAAAGCACGGTAAAACCACTGCAGACACACAGCTCTAATCTGATTCCCATCATCTGCACCTATTCTGGAGCTGACCAGAGAAAACAAGCAGTCTCCATGGTAAGCCAGTGGTGCCTTGTACAGGTTTTAGGAGTCCTGCTTATAACAGTCTGCTCAGGAGAATGGGATGCTAGGGTACCCTCAGATTTACATCTGTAGACATTAAATAGAGTGAGGGAGATAGTGATCAGAATGCAGTGTGTGCATTCGAGTCCAAAACAAATTTAATAAAAGACAGAAAACAGATTAAACATTGTCCATGCCATGTTTCCCATTGTGTTCTTATGTAACCACCACTGGTATACCTCATCTTTTATAACCACCACTGGTATACCTCATTCTTTTATGACAACCACTGGTATACCTCAGTCTTTTATGAGTACCCCTGGTACACCTCATTCTTTATAACTACCACTGGTGAACCTCATTCTTTTATAACCACCACTGGTATACATCATTCTTTTATAACCA